GAGAGAGAGAGAGAGAGAAACATCAGTGATGAGAGAGAATCATTGATTGTCTGCCTCCTGCATGACCCCTGCCGGAGATTGAGCCTGCAACCCGGGCATGTGCCCTGACCAGGATCAAACCGTGACCTCCCGGTTCATAGGTCGATGCTCAAGCACTGAGCCATGCTGGCCTGGCTACTTTCCCCTTTTTTGAACATATGCTCTGCGTGATTTACAGTGAGGAGCTTGGAGATGGGAATAGGAAGTGTCTCCTGTGAGCTTACAGTAACACGGCACCTGGCAATAGGCTGTCAGCTCCTCCAGGCCAGACCTGAGTCCCACACATTCAGTCACAAACATGGGACTGAGGATCCCCCCCGCAAAGTCTCTCCCGGCCTTCAGAGAGCTCACAGTCTGTGGAAGAGTCGAGCAGTTGCATGGGTACTGGATTTATCAGGGGGACCACTTCATACGTTACATAAATGTCTAATCACTATGTTGTGCACATGAGCCTAATATAATTGAATGTCAATTGTGATGGGAAAAAAATATTTTTTGAAAAGTAATTCAGTCAGTTGGTCAAGGTATTACAGCAAAGGCCCAGATCCAGCTGACTCCTGAGTCCAGCCCCAGCCACCCAGGGCCTGTCCACAGCTCTCCTCCTGGGTCCACCCCCAACCACCCAGGCCCTGCCCACAGCTGCCCTCCTGGGTCCACCCCCAACCACCCAGGCCCTGCCCACAGCTCTCCTCCTGGGTCCACACCCAACCACCCAGAGCCTGTCCACATCTCCCCTCCTGAGTCCACCCCCAACCACCCAGGCCCTGCCCACAGCTGCCCTCCTGGGTCCATGCCCAACATGGCCTGCCCACATCTCCCCTCCTGCATCCACCCTAACCACCCAGGGCCTGCCCACAGCTGCCCTCCTGGGTCCACACCCAACCACCTAGGCCTTGCCCACACCTCCCCTCCTGGGTCCACCCCCAACCACCCAGGCCCTGCCCACAGCTCCCCTCCTGGGTCCACCCCCAACCACCTAGGCCCTGCCATCACCTCCCCTCCTGGGTCCACCCCTAACCACCCAGGCCCTGCCCACAGATCCCCTCCTTGGTCCACCCCCAACCACCCAGGGCCTGCCTACAGCTCCCCAGAAGCACTCTCCTTTGTCTCCTCACACCTCCTTTTGTCTTCTTAGCACCTGTGGTGGGAGAGGAGGTGTTGGGCTGTTGCATTGACCAGGCCTAGGGCTTGTGGGCTGACCATTCTTGGCTCACTTGTCTATTGCAGCCCTGCTGACACTTAAGTTTGGAGTCTTCGAGGAAAAGGTGCTTTCACTTCTATCACATGCCAGCAGGTGGAGACAGACTGCTCGGTTGGATGAGCATTAGACAGTCCTTGGTTTCACGTTACTGTCCTAGACGCTGCCGAGGGCTTCACTCTTCCCTGCCCTTTCCCTCCTGGGTTTGTCGATATAAAAAGAGAAAACTAGGTCACCAGTAAAAGAGGATTCCTTCATTAAGTGACAAGGGAAACATGGGTCTCTGTTGGATGAAATTCCTTATCTATAACATCTGAGCTTCAAATTCTCTATAGATAATATTTATAACATATTTATGATACAGTTTAAACAAGGTTCCTGTCAGTCATTGGAAATCCCACTTCTCCTTGGATTGGAGTTTATTTCCCTTTCTTTCATTCAGGCGCCAAGTCGGACTGTGTTGCGATAGTTCTGGGTTGTGGACTGACCACTCTTGGCTCACTTGTCTATTGCAGCACTTACGTTGTGGCTTACTGTCCACCCTGCTGAAACTCAGGTTCGGAGTCTTCGAGGAAACGATGCTTTTACTTTTATTACATGTAATCGGCCCTGAGAAATACTAGCTGGGGGTTGGCTGGATATGGAGCCCTGTGAGAACTGGCTCTGTCTGTCCCATTAGTGCAGGCTGGCCGGCTGGCGGTGGAATAAGCAGGAACCGTTTCTGCCATTATATGGCCCTATGTACTGATTTGCAGCTTTTAACCAGAACACGAGAAAAGGCCACACCGTCACGTCTCCTCCACGCTGTGCAGTGTCGGCCGCAAAGCTGAAAGCCTTCGTCCCGGGGCCCGCGCCCCTTGAGCTCACCCTTTCCCCTCCTTTCTGCCCACAGCGGTCCCCGTCCGAGTTCTCACCCATCGGAGAAGATGCCCTGCAGACCTGTTTGCTGGAGGCTGCGTCGAGGCATCCGGGGAGCCTGGGCCAGCAGCCCAGGGAGGAGTCGGCGTGGCCCAGCTGGAGGAGCCTGGACAGTCCGGACCAGACAGGTGAGTGTTTTAAGCAGCATCTGGTTGGCCTGTGGGTTAACTGTGCTGTTTGGAGGCTTCTGGCTGCCGCGTGGCCGCTCAGCTCTTCCCCTGTCATCTGAGCAGCGTGTGCCCATTGTGGGCAGCCTGGGCAGTGTTCCTGTGAGACCCGTGGGACAGTGGGGGGCTCCTGGACCTGTGTGTGCAACTCACATGGCTGCACAGCCCACGTCAGCTGCCTGTAGAGTGGATGGAGACGAGGACTAGCCCCTGGTCCGTGGACGGGGGAGGATGTCTCACACAGGCCAGGAACGCTAATCCAACCCAGCAGACAGGTCAGCGTTCAAAGGGATTTGGGTCCCAGTGTCTGGTTCTAAGAGTGTCCTTTCTGAAGCCCGACATGTTTGTTAGGGTGACACTTGCTATGCCAAGTGAACCACACCTTTAGGTGGTTTAATGCCATAGTTTTAGTTCTCATCAGGCAGCTGTGCAGTGCCGTGTCCTGGCTGCAGGAGGCTTTCAGAGGCTCCTCGACCCTGTGGCTCTGCCGTCCCCTAGGGCCTCTGAGTCTTCTGCTGGCCATCCTCGTCCGGCCAGCAGGTGGAGGAAGAGAGAATGGAGAAGTTGGTGCACCTGCTGTCTAACCACCTCAGCAGGGAAATGACACCTGCACCACCTTCACTCCCATCCCAGGAGCATGAACTAGTCACATGGCCCCACCTTGAAGCAAGGGATCCTGGGAAATGTAGTCCTGGCTGGGAAAATGCATCCCAGGAACGGATGACACATGATTTTTTTCCCCCCTGCCACACAGGAGGAGGGCATTGCTGTTCCCTCTTCCTGCTCCTCCTCCTGGAATGCCTCACCTCTCTCTGTACAGGGCAATTGAACTTCCCTCTGCAGAAACTCCTCAACATCTATCACACACAGTCCTTTATTAAGCTGTCAAGTCATGTGATCCCTCCCAACCTTAGGGGCCCAAACTAGCTGAGACCCTTTCCCAGAGTCACACACACATCAGAAGGCTGCCAGATGCTTGGAATCACCTGGGGAGCAGCCGAGGGCCGGGAAGCCCCTGTGCTCAGGCCAGGGAGGTCTCCTGGGCCCCACAACTGGGATAAAGATGCTCACCCCACCCCACACAGGTCAGTTCCTTCCTCACCTAAATACGCATATCTGTGATGGAAGCTAGGAATGTTGTCCCCACAAGAGGGAGCCATAGAGTACTTCCACCCATATTATCCCCCCAAATCTCGACCCCTTTCCTCAGCAACCATAACAATAAATTAGCAGCAAAATACCGACAGTGCTTTCAAGGATTGTGCTATGACTTCTGCTCTGTCAGGGCAAAGACTTAACCAGCAGCCAGATAAGCCAATCCTGTTGTTATCACAGTGCAAAGAATAAAAAGCATGAAGTATTTTCTAACAGTTATTCTAAAGACCTTCCAAAAGAAATCTTTCCATGTGAACCTTTTAGGACCTGTCAGTAGAAATTGCGGAGATTCTGTGAGCACATGAAGGTTTCCTTATGTATGCGTATGGTTTGGGGTTTCCTTAAGTGCATTTTCCCTTTCTAGATATGTTTTCTTCCCCCTGCTGTTGTCCAACAGACCCACATTCATTCATTCGTTCATTCATTCATATTTTTTTTCTTTCTCTCTCACCTGGATGGAAAATTATCACAGAGAAGGAACTCTTAGATTCCACAGGACCTCTGAGAACATCACATAATAGATCTTCACTAAAGAGTAATAAATAACTAGCTTTTAAGAATCGCTTTACAGGGGATAGCGGCCACCTGCGGGCCCTATTTTGTTTATTCCTCCCACGGCGTTCCTAATCACTGCCATTATCCTGCGTGCCAGATGAAAGCCTTGAGGGACAGTGAGGGTCAGTGGCTTGTCCAGGACCCCACAGCTGGGAGCACCCTGACCCTCACATGCACACCCCGTGGCTCCGATCACAGCTTTTTTAAATTGACAGTGAGAGTCCCCCCACCTAAAAAACAAACAAGCAGCAGTGACAAGAACAGCATTTCAGAATTCAAACGTACACACTGGTACACTTAAAGGATATGATAAACCTTCTAAAAGACACTCCACTCCACAAAACAGTTCCCCGCTGAATTACGAGCACTCCGCATACATTTGCAGAGGGCTCTGCTTTTCAAAACACGATTGTGTGCATAATATTCCGTAAAACAAGGCACCCACGTGTAATTCATCAGTTCTGTCTACGCATAAAACTTAGTTCAACAACATCACACACACACACATTTCACACTCGGTCCAAACATCCATGCATCCCTCAGGAGGAAGATGGAAAATGAAAAATAAATAATAAATAAAGCGCTTGTGTAGGAAACCGCTGGTTTTCCTGAGGAATGCTGGGCCTTGACGTGCTGAAATGTCCAGGCCAACCCCAGAGGTCCTGACCGCTGTCTGATATGTACAGCAGGAAGCAGATCACTCCCGGGGGCATGGCTCAGCCTTAGCGGAGCAGAGATGCAGAACAGAGGAGGCCTGGAGGTGGAGGTCATCGTAGAAGGTTAATGTCCACTGGGCTGATGTCAGCAGCTCTGTTTCTGTGTCAGGGGGAGGGTTGGTTCTGGAGCATGTCGGTCCACAGCTGGGGTTAGCGCCAGGAGCACTGCGGGCTGAGTGAACCATAGCAACTCTGCCTCAGTCCTGACAGCGCTCACAGCAGCTCGTGGGTCTCCCCAAACACACACTCACTTAGAGTCCTTGACAGAACATCTCCTGTGCGCACAGCTGGGACGTGAAGATCAGGGGACGGTCCCTGCCCCCAGTTGCTCGCTGACTACTGTCTGCACAACCAGGAAAGGGTGAGAATTTGGACAGAGGAGGGGGTGGCGAGGAGCAGGGTCCCAGAGGATGCCCCCAGTGGACAAAGAGAATGTGGTCTTGGAGCCCAGATGCGACATTGAGCACTTCCCATGATGCAGCTCGACAGCCAAGGTTTTCATAGGGTTGCGTGTTCGTGGAAACGTCTGTGCTCTTGCCGAGAAAGAAGTTGGCCAACTTCTAGCTTCCCCAGGGGAACATGGCAACCTGGGATTGCCAAGGCAGGGGAGGAGAGGAGGCGGCACTGGGCTGACTCCCACGCCATCTGTCAAGGCTGTTGTGAGTGAGGTCTGTACAGTTGCTGAGGGCAGGGTGTGCTAACCTGTGAGGTGGGCCAGGCAGGTGATGGAAGCAGGTGATGGTGTCTTCTCCCATCCAGTGAGGAAAAGGAGGATCTAAGAGACAAAACCATGGCCAAAGTCAAAGAGCCAGGACCTGAGGCTGCCAGCAGCAGCCTTCCCCTCTCCCCGTCGCTACCCAGGCCAGGCCAGCCGAGGACAGGAGTGGGGCGACTCTCGGAGACGGAGGGGACCATCTACCTGGGTGGCATTAGCTAGGAGTCAGATCTCTGAGTTTCTCTTCATCTGCGCCGCACTGGGGCCCTGGGAGGCCTCGAGGGACTTCCTGGGGACCTTTCAACTTGCCCCCAGTTAGGTGTGCCCCTATGGACTTCCTAGAGCAGCTGCTCCCCAAGACCCCAGGAGCCAGTCATGGGGCAGTGGCAGGTGGCAACCTCACTTGCCCTAAGCTGATAACGGCCTCTCTGGTTTCTCTCCCTCCCACCTACAGACCGGGCCCCCGTTTTGCAGAGCCCCGATGGGAACTGGGTGGCGCTGAAGGATGGTGCTCTGCCCCCCGCCCGCCTGCTGGCCAAACCTAAGAGTGGCGCATTCCAGGCCCTGGAGGCTGCCTCCAGCGTGGCCTCCGCCTACGAGGAGATGGGCTCCGACAGCGAGGAGGACTTTGACTGGAGTGAGGCCTTGAGCACGCTATGCCCACGGCCCCAGGATCTGCCCAGGAACCCCCAGCCTCAGCCCACGCAGGCCCAAGGCTTGGACCAAGTCCCCTCCGCCACCTCTGCTCCCTCCAGGCTTTCCCCCCACCTCGAGGCCACGTGCTCTGACTCAGAGACGTCCTCCACGGGCTCCTCCCGGGAAACAGGGCATCATCGGGCCAGACTGTCCTGGCTGCAGAGGAAGGCTCCTAGGACCCCTGTCGCCGAAAAGATGCACCTCCAGGGGGAGCTGGACGTGAACTTCAATCCCCAGGCAGCCAGCAGGGAGACCTCGGACAGCAGCGAGCCTGAGGAGGCCCCCCACGCGCCAGACCGGCGGGCCCGGAGGTGGAGAAGGGCCCGCGTGGGCTCAGAGGATCCAAGCAAGGAGCTATCTTCCCCCAACGCCCATTCCCAGGAGCTGAGCACCCACCAGGTAATAAAATAGGTGTGTGCAAGCGCACGCGCACGCGCACACTTTCTGGGAGGATGTGCACTCCTTCAAGCATGGTTGGCATAGAGAGTCCGGGGTTAAGACTTCAGACCCAGATTCTCATCATGATGTTTGCTGCTAAGTAGCTGAGCGACACAGACAGGTCACATCAACTCTCTGGCATTCCACGGCCCCCTCAGAGATGAGAGCTTAGGGTTCAAAGTAGCTTTGCAAGGTGTGGCCCCGGACCAGCAGCATCAGGGAACATGCTGGAAATGCAGATTCGCAGGCCCCACCCCAGTCCTGCTGGATCCAGCCATCTCTGTGGCAGTGAACTCTCCTGATAATCCTGTGCATGCAAGTGTGAGGGCCACTGGCACCAGGGGAAGGGCCTGGGGCCTAGAGTCAGCCTTCCTGGTTCAAGTCCAGCTATGTGACCTGGGCAAAGCATCTCTCTAGGTCTCAGCTCCCTCGTCTGTAAATGGAGATACTCGTGGAACCCACTTCAAAGAAGGGTTGAGGGAAGTGAATGTCACAGAATTTGGCGTCAGTCCTACCTGACCTGTGCATATCGTGCCTAGAAAAGGCCCTTATTTGGGCTAAGCTCTCATTTTCTCTGTAAAACAAGATCATTAAAAGTGATCTCAGGATTGTTGTGGCGATAGAGAAAATATAAAGTTCTGTGCAACTGGGAATCATTATCACCTAGCTCAGGTGCAGACTGCTTTCCCGAAACCGTGAGTAACTTCCCTCAGGGATATTCTTGAGGGTCGTCTGCACACTTGCAGGTATAAAATGCCATATATGCAGCATAAGTAGGTGCCTGAAGCTTTCTGTTTATTCTGAAGTGGCTTGCAAGTTATCTTTTGGTATTCATCTTGGCAAGGCGTCAATAAAGAGAAGGCAAGCGCTGAGAGAAAGGTGATGGCTTGGACCAGTGTTGTGTCCCCCTCCCCTGGCAGTGTCCTCTCCTCTCCACTAGGTGGCGATGGCGTTGCACTTCCAGGGACTTCAAAACTCTGGCCTCCCGATCCTCCCTTCTCGTTAGTTTACTAGAGCAGTTCTCTTCTCAAAAAGAAAAATATATATATATAGTTTACCTGTATGCTTTTAAATTATAAATTTCAAAACACAGATATCATCTCCCTTGACCACAACCCTAAATCCTTGTTATCTTCCCCCAAATGACTTCAGTTGTATTTGTGCATTTATACGCAGATAGTACATTTAGAAATATAGTTCTGTAAATGTATCTGTGTTTTAGCAAAACCAGCGTCTTTCTATCCATATTCTGCTTCCTCTTTCTCTTAACAATAAGTCATAGGGATGTCAGCACACACAGAACTGCTCATCGTACCTGCAAAAGATTGCATCACGTGTTCCCTGGGAGTGTGGGAGTGGGAGCAATCCTTCCGGGGTGCAAGCAGTGAGGGTGCCTTGCCTGTAGGGAGTTCTTAAACAAAACTAAATCTAACAGAAGTCAGTCTCTTTCTTATCGCTCTGAACCATGCACGGAAAAGTCTAAGTGATGCTAGTGATGGAAGACTTCCCCACGGGGGCAGGCTGCTGCCAGCGTCCACCCAGCCCCCTGGGCTTTCCACTCTCCATGGTGGGGAGGGACCACCACCCACAGTTCCCAGAAAGATGGACATTAAAGACTTTCCAGAGGCTGAGGTTATAAACAACGCTGCGGAGAATATCGCTGTGCAAGTCTCTTTACACAAGTACAGGAAGTAGAATTGCTGACTTGAGGTACATGGATCTTTCATTCTAACGAGTACTGGCCAAATCAGGCTCCCAAAGCCTCATAGCAGTTCACGCGGCCAAGCACTGTTTGAGTATGTTTCCCCTGTTGTCCACAGTACTTAGTGCCGTCAGCCTGTGAGACTGTCACCACCTTAAGTGAGGGGAGAAATGCATTTCTTTCCAGTTAACATTTGCATAGTTACGACTGAGGTTGCACATTTTTCCCAATATTTGAAGCTATTTGCATTTTTTTTCTTCTGTGAAAGACACATTTATCACCTTCTATTATTTTATTGGACCACTTGCCTTTTTCTTATTGATTTTTCCGAATCAGTTTTATTTTGTAATTATGTTGTAGATTTTAGTTTTTTGATGGTTACACATTGAAAATATTCTCCCCTTGATTATCACTTTTGCCTTAACTTCATTTTACATGCAAAAGTTTTGTTGCTAATAATTTGTCAATCGTTTTTCTTAATAATAATTTATCAGTTATTTCCTTTATTTTTTATTTTGTACCTTGTTTAAGAAAGCTTTTTAAAAGACATTTTATTTATTTTTCATCCTCACCCAGGGGTATGTTTTCATTGATTTGAGAGAAAGAGAAACATCAATGTGAGAAAGAACCATGAATCGGTTGCCTCCCATATGCATCCTGACTGGGGACCAAACCCGCAATCTAGGTATGCGCCCTGGCTGAGAATCCAACCTGCAACCTTTTTAAAAATTATTATTATTATTTTAAATAGCAGGTTGTCAAAGTTGTCTCTCTCTCTTTTTTAAATGTTTTTATTGATTTTCAGGGAGAGGAAGAGAGAGATAGAAACATCAATGATGAAAGAGAATCTTCCATTGGCTGCCTCCTGCACACCTACCACAGAGGATAGAGCCCACAACCCCAGGATTGTGCTCCGACTGGGAATCGAACTGTGATCTCCTGGTTCATAGGTCACTCTCAACCATTGAGCCACACCGACCGGGCCAACCCTTAACCTTTTGTTCTAACCAACTGAGCCACCGGGCCAGAACTGTCACACATCTTTTTAGCAAAACAGGGATGGTCCAGATTCTGGTTGCAAATGTGCATGATGAAGCTCTTCCTGTCGAATGACTAACTAAATGAAAATATCATACTTTCTTGTCCTTAGGAATACATAGTGTGCTCATGGATTCTTGAGTTTAAGATAAGTCACCTAGGACGTTATCACCTGAAGACTCTTGGTCTGAGATTTTACTCATACAGTCAACATCACCATCATTGTTAGAGTCTGGAGAGCTGTGCTCCTCTGCCAATTCATCTTCTGAGTCACACAATAATTGTGAAGCATTGTTCTCTGTCCATTTCTTCTCTTTGTCATTATGAAATTTTGAATTCTCAACTGTATGCAGTGAGCTAAAAGCAGACTCAAAACAGTGATGATTTATTTCACTATTGAATCATTCTTCGAGGCAATTCTTTTCTTCCGTATTATTATCTCAGTCTCCTAGCATAATTGGGAATAACTGATGAGTAATCATGAAAAATATCTCCCAGGGTGATGAAACAGCAAAATATTTCAAAAGATGGGAAGAATTAGATCACAAAGATCCCATCGTGTACCTTAGAGTTACAAAAGGGCCCAGTGAACCCATGTAGTAAATGCAAGATAGAATGTTTTATTTTATTTAAAATATAAGTAAATTTTCCATTTATTCTTTGGAAGCCATTCACAAAGTAATAAAAGTCATGAGATATCAAGCCTTATAAATAGATTGAACAACTAACTCAATGAGGAAACTCAAACACTAAAATTGGGTCTAGTAGACCCTGATGGTATGCTGAGGTTATCTTAACATTCCATATACATCTGTCCACGTCAAGGCCAAGAATAAGTGAGAGTCACAGCCTCCGTGTGCTCCTGGAGTTCCCCAGGCCTGGCCAGGGACTTGCTCACAGGAGGAGCTTAGGAGATGTTCACCAAGTAGAGAGTAGGAGCTGTCAGTGTCATCACTAAGCTAGAACCATAATTACCAAGGGAATACCACACAGTATTCCTTACAGATGTGCAAGGTCCTTGCTGCATCTCAAAACCTTTGCCTGGCATCCCGTTCTTCCCTCTCTGCCTTTGAGCTGAGTAGCTGCTATACTTTGATGCTCAACTCAGACATTGATTCCACAAGGAAGGCTTTTGCCTAATCCCCAGCGTCTCCCAGCAAGTGCCCCTTAGTGGCTATCAGAGCATCCCTCCCACCCCACCCCCTTCTCTGCACGCGCCATCATGGCGGCTAGTATGGAAGGTTTTACTGTGCCTCCTCTAGGCTGGGCCGGATTTGCTCAGCCTTGCCTTATCAGCACCAGCACGGTGCTGCCGCTCAGGCTGGGGGCTCAGCAAGTATTTTGTGACTAAAAACTCCTGTTGAATTCCAACGTGTCCTCGGAGTGCAGATGCTCACCTGTCCGAACCCTTTAACAAAGTGTTAAGATGCATGTGTTTGAGGAAATAAAAGTGAAAAGTAAAAGCCCATCTGTGTTTCTCCAGACCAGGTCAGAGAGCTGTCACTTTCCTGGACGATCCTCCCGGGTGCCATTGGGGACGAACCACGTGACTGTAGGAGAGGCGTCCTCAGCTCACCATTCTGGTTTTCACTCAGGTGTTGGGTGACTTATCGGAGACCGACCTCGGCAATGAGACTCGGCACCCCCGGACCCGTGCCGACACCACGGAGGAGAAAGTGAGAAACAAGTTGTTCGAGTTGGCGATGAAAATGAGTGAGAAGGAGACATCTTCGGGGGAGGATCAGGAGTCCGAGCCCAAGACAGAGTCCGAGAATCAGAAAGAAAGTCTGTCCTCTGAAGACAACAGCCAGAGCATCCAGGAAGAGCTGAGGAAGGTAAGGGCCCGCTCTCTGCAGCCGGGTCTGGGGAAAGGTTCTGTATTTGCACAGAGATGGGTGGGGTCCCCAAAGAGCTCCCTCTAAAATGGCCCTCCCCGTGCGCTTGGGAGAACCCCGGGGAGCCCTCCGTGATGAGCTCTGAGTGGCGCAGTCGGGAACCCGGCGTTGCGTTGTACGGAAGGCTTCCAAGACCTCTCCGCTCTCACGAACTCTCCTTCGTCGACACAGCCCTTTGGGCTCACCTCTGTAGTTTCGTGCTCTGATCTCTCTCATTGGTGAGGAGCAGGGCTATCCCACCTCGCCTTGGGGATTCTGCCTGCGGGTTGGGATCATGTACCCATCCCTCCTTCAGGCAGTGATGACGCTCCATGCGTGGTCTTTGTGTGGAGGTGGCCTGCTGGACCGTTTATCCCTGCACTTTTCAGATCTGTGTGTGTTTGTCTTAGCCTCAGAATCCATATGTGAAATTCCGGAGTTTTAAACAGGTTAAAAACACTGCTACTCCCAGGGCTCCCAGAGCCCCAAACACCTCCTCCCACTCCCCCACCCCCACCTGCCAGCCAGAGGTCCAAGCAACATTGTTTGACAACCACAGGAGGTAGAACCAACCCTTGGAGAAAGGGATCCCAGACGCCCGCCTCCGGTCAGTGCTCTGCCCCCTCCTCCTCCGTGTGCCTGGGTTCCCTCGGCAGCTTCTCCATGTACTTTCACGCTGAACTTGGCCACGTCAGCGTCGGGAAAACCCCTGATACCTCCAGTGGAGGGGAAGAGGCTGACACTTGACTGTGTCCCCTGTTTACTTCATTTAGTAAAAACCCTATGAAATAGATCCCCCACCCACATCTGGCAGGTTTCAGAGCTGGGGCTGCACCACGCACCTGCTTGGCCTCAAATCACTGGCTCCTTCCTTCACAACGAGCTGCCTCATCTGTAACTCGAGAGAAGCTCTTGTCTGGAAACTTCTAGATTTCCTTGCATGTATGATCAGTCTTTTCCTGTTTTGAGAATATGCCATCTACACCAACAAGTTATTGGTCACCCACGTGCATGGGTGAGTGAGCCCCCTTCGCCTGCTCAGCAGTCAAGTTGAGGTACCAGGGAGAAGCCAGGCCAAGCTTCTGTAGAGAGAGCTTTATCCAGACGTCACTGTCCCTCCTGCCTCCACCCCTGGCCTGCTCTCTGAGAGCCAAGCAGGGGGAAGTGCACATTCCCACAGACACAGTGACACCAGTGGCAGTTCAGGGTTCTTGGCGAAAACCTGCCTAGGAATTAGGGCTTCAGGTTCCTGTCCAGCAGCAGCAGAGCCATTTCATAAACGCATTTTCTCGTGATTGGACTCAGCCCTTGGCTGTGAACAGACTGGGCCCTGGAGTCAGCCCCCTCTGGCTGGCTGTTGGGGAGCCCAGTGATGATTCAAGGATGGTCCCTGATGTCTGCATTTTAAGTAGCTGAAGAAGGAGCTTCTGGGGCTTGGGGCCCGTCCAGGAGCCTCCTGAGAACTGGGTTCCCAAGGGATCGTGCTCTTTCTTGAAGCCAGCTTGGTTCCACTGAGCCCCAGGAGTCAGCCTTCCAAACCAGCGGGTCCTCGGAGCCCAGAAGTAACCTCTTGTTTCTCCTCTGCTGCCAGGCAGGTGGCCCTGCCAGTGGTTCTGTAACCGAGTCCTGGCTGCATTGGTTCTTAGAACCATTTGCCTCTAGGTATGCAGGTGCTGTGTTCCTGAAAGAGGGGCGCAGAGGTGGGCCAAGTACTCCCCACCTGAGCTCGGAGACCACACTCAGGGGCTGAATCTCCCACAAACCCCCCAGTCTTCCTAGGCTTGGAACAGCGATCCCCAAGGGCTCTTCTGGCTTCAAAATCCCATGTAGTGGGTTAAGTAGGTTTCTGTTTTCTGACGTAGGTATCCTTTGTGACACTCTTTATGGCAAATGATGTCCTGTGTGTCAAATCTTTAGAACATGAATGTTTGTTGAGGGTTCAAATGACTAAATTTTTGCATTATCGTCAACTTTTCACATCCAGTGTCCTGAAAACATTTCTATTGAAGGTGTCTTTGTTTGCCAGTTCTTCTCACAGCTGGCTGAGCCATTGTGCTTTATTTTCACAAGGGAGTCACAGACTAGCTAACATCTCCCATGTTTATAGTTTCAGGGAGTAATTCTCACCAAGGTACTGAGACTTCTCTGAACTAACCAGTGTCACTGTGCACCTTCTCATGGCTGCTCCCCACTTACTAACATCAAGTCCCATAGAAACAGTGCTGCTCAGTGGTCAGGGAGACAGGCTTATTGATGCTGAGAAAACGCAGAGCCTTGGGCTTCTGAAGCTTCATGTGCTTGTGACCAGCTTTTGTCGACATCACAGTGTTGACATAAAACCAAGCATTGTCCGCGTGTAGCTCACCCTTGTGAAATAACTCGCCATCCACAGGCGGACTGGCTGTCCTTCCTCTCGGGTAGCTTTTCATTTCAGAAGAGCGTCTTGATCTTTAGTTGGTGCTGAAGTGAATATGGTGTTAGATACTAACTTGTAGCCTACAGACTCCGCTGACCTCCGCAGGCCGTGTGCCTGTGGAGGAAGTCACGTCTCTTTTCTAACTCTCTATTTAACTGTTGCCCTAGGGCCGTGGTCGGCAAACTCATTAGTCAACAGAGCCAAATATCAACAGTACAACGATTGAAATTTCTTTTGAGAGCCAGATTTTTTAAACTTAAACTATATAGGTAGGTATATTGTTATTAACTTAATTAGGGTACTCCTAAGGCTTAGGAAGAGCCACACTCAAGGGGCCAAAGAGCCGCATGTGGCTTGCGAGCCACGGTTTGCCGACCACGGTCCTAGGGAAACAGAGGCATTAGCTATCCACTTAGATACCCTAACTGGTTTGGCTTAGTGAATAGAGCTTTGGCCTGCGGACTGAAGGGTCCCAGGTTCAATTCCTGTCAAGGGTACATGCCCGGTTTGCAGGCTCTATCAATGATTCTCCTTCATCACTGATGTTTCTATCTCTCTCTTCCTCTCCCTTCCTCTCTAAAATCAATAAAAATATATTTAAATTTTTTTAAAAGAGAGCTACAGCTCTTGTCCATGGTGCTTGAACAGGTGAGGAGGCTTCATTTGCCCATGTTGTCTGTCATCGGTTCACCCCTTCCCACAGCCCGTCCTTGTGCGGAGACAGTGGGGAGGGCCTGCCTGGCTGGGAAGACAGAGCTCCAGGGTCTCCCCTGGATAACGGGACTTCGGCAGAACACCTTCCTCTCTGGGCAAAGGGTGAACTGACTGGCCAGAACTCCAATGCAAAGAGCCCTTAAAGCATCTGTAATTTGCAGGTGTCACCTGAAGGGTCAGGCAAAAACCTAGGTTACCTCAGCCACAGCGGTAGAGTGGGACATTGGACAGATGTGGTTTGAAGAGGGAAAGGCAGAGTAGCTCTAGAAGTATAAAGGTCTCAAAAACAAAGCTCTGGACCCACGAAAGCCCAAAAGTAAGATGCCCTGGGGAGATGGGATCATGGGAGGTAAGAGGGGAGAGAAGGCAAAAGGGTCTGAAGCTCTGCAGAATAAACAGGACTGTGCTCTTGGAAAACATTCTGAATAGAGAGAATATAAAAACAAGAGGAGAGGAAGGAAGGGAGGGAGGGAGG